TAGCTAAGAACACCATCAAAGTTATGAACCTCCTCTGAGTTTTTATTATTGTACTCCTCTCATCTCATAAAGTTGTGATTGCTAGAAAAACTTCCACTCATTATCATTGCTGGAGAAGTATAAGTAATCAAATGGTTGTCACCGTTATCACTGGAATATTGCCGCCAAGGGGTTTTCAAAGTTTTGAGGATGGGTAGGTTTTGAAGGTGGGATTTGGGAAAGATGGATGTGCGGTGATGGAGGTGGGTGCTGCCATAAACCCTAATTCACGATGTAATGGGTGTATGACTTAATTGTGAGATGGGGTGTCCTAAAATTTTTGATGTCCTTTTTAGTAATTTTATTTGAGGTTATTATTGTAATAATAAATAACTAAAAAGTGGGGGGTCCAAAATAATTAACGGGGTGCCAATACTCTTATTAAATTGCCTACTTAATCCTGAACTATCGATTGAATCTATTAAGTATAAATCAAACTCTATTTAGTCCATAAACTATCTATTTTTGGTGTTTGTTTGGAGGGATTGGATTTCATGTTCATTGAATCATGGAGTCCATTGTTTGATTGCAAATTGGTAGACCGAATTAGGAGTCTGGTTGGGCTATCAATCCAATATATATTGGACTATTGTATCCTAGAGGGGTATGAGATAGAATTGGTGGATAACTATCCTATGGGATTAAATGGTAAAATGACATACTTGTCGTCCAAGTAATTGATTTAAGAAAAATTTATCTATAAATCCCATTTTGAGAAATGATTATCCAATTAGTCCTAATGATTTTTGTATAGACCAATTAGTCCCATTAATTTTGAAAAAATAGATTTAATATATTATTTGAAAAATAGATTTCTGATTATACCCTTATTCATATTATGTTTTCTTCTCTTTTTTTCTTTTGTGCTAGAAAGGTAAGGTACATGAGAATTAAATTTGGGATGAATTTTTATATGAGAATCTCTTTTATTTGAAAAGCATTTCAAAAGGAGTACAAAAATGACTTGAAATATGAGGTATGTAGAGCGGCTTATTAAGTTCAGAACCCTCAGGCAGTAGTTCTTTGTCGGTGAAGGACAAAGTCGGGGAAGCTCCACCCGGGAAAACCAACCCTACCAATTGCTCAAGCGTTGTATCAATCGAAAGCTTAGCCCTGTCCATAGCAGAAAGAACGGCTTGTCTATGTACCCTCGAGGCCATAAGCAGTCCCCAGATGGAGATGTCTGCTTGAATTTTCTTTAGCTATTTCAGCACAACTTCCTCCTCTAGTAGCTTTTCTTTCTACCTCTCTGCTTCTCTGTCCTTCCTTGATACCTCTAGCTGATCCAAATGTGGGGGCTTGAAATACCGCCCACTTCGGGTCATATGGTCAACCTCCTCGGTGTACCAGGTGTCATCCGGTTGATTCTGCCCCCAGTCCTTATTGGTGTGGGCAAGATGTAAATCATCGTCTTCCCACCACATCCCCTCGACAACAGACAGACAACTGTCCGGTTCCACTACAATTGCTCCCGTGTTCTCAACAGATTCTGCCCCCTCAGGTGCTTTGGCTTTTCTAGCCCTGTTATCATTATCAATCCTCTTTTGCTCAAACCGCTTCAGCGCGGCTTCTAGCTCCGTGTCGACTATGCACAAACTGCCTGGATCCCAAGTAAAATTCTTTGCACTGGTGCTCTTCGGCGATTCCCCCTAAATCTTGGCCGTTCCGGCCACTGCAGATGTTCCAGTCTCTGACTGACCCTGTTCTAATTGAGGCACCTCAACAAGATCTGGCTCGTCACTAAGTCACCCCGTATTATCTGTCAACCTAGTCAGGTTAAACCAATTGATGCTCACATCTCCCGGGTCCTGCTCGTTAAAGAACTGTATATTGGCAATATCCTCCTCCAGTTCTGCCAAATCATCGAGCCCTTGACTAGGCCCATCCTCCTGGACCATGTTGATCTTTGCCCCAGTTGGTAGCTCTACTCTCGGCTTAGCCTTGTTTGTTGGCACAATATAACCACACGGGTTGTATGCTTCCTCTGTAAAGCTCCCAGATCTCTCAGATTCTGAACCAACATTCCCATTCTCCTCCAAAGTTACCCCAGCTTTGTCTTCGACAGTCACCACCACTGGCTTGGGCTGGGTTAGAACATTCCAAAAGGACGTGGAATTCTTCAAATATTTCAAAAGGAGTACAAAAACTCCTCAATAAGTTTTGGACAAATGTAGAATTTCAAACTGTAACACTCTAATATAACACAAGCGCAATACTCTAATGTAACACTAAAAAAATAAATAAATAAATAAAAATTCCTTAGTGTAATTTTCTCAAACATAACATTCCAATATGACACTTCAAAAAAACTCCTTAGTGTAACACTCTAGTATAATATACAAAAAAATTTCTTAGTGTATTTTTCCAAAACTTAACACTCTAATATAATATTCTAAAAAAACTTCTTTGTGTAATACTCTGATGTAACACAGAAAAAAAATTCAGGAGTGTAACACTCTAATGTAACACAAAAAAAAAAAAAATAAAAAATCTTAGTGTACTTTTCCTAAATGTAACACTCCTATATAACACTCCAAAAAAACTTCTTAGTGTAACACTTTAATGTAATACACAAAAAAACTCCTTAGTGTAATTTTCTCAAATGTGTAATTTTACATTTAGAGAAATTTACTTTTATCTCCAAAAAATTAAACCCAAACATGTAAGTGACTATCATTTTGTGTAATTTCCACTTTAATGGGACCTTTAGGTTTATAAGAAAAAAGAAATGACTAAACAATTCACAAAATCACATGTTAGGGTTTGTTGGTGGTTCACCCTTGATTTAATTATGTATTATATTTAAATGGTAAATTTTTATTGACATTTTATTTAATTTCATTATTTAATTATTATTTTTTTAAAATAAATTTTTTAAAATTTTATTTCAAAAAATAACTCAAATTTTTATTGATATTTTATTTATTTAATTTTAAAAAATATTTTAATTTTTTTTAAAAATACAATAAAATAAAATTTTATTTAATCTAGCCAAAAAGAATTAAAATATTAAAGATGGGTTTAATATTGCTATTATTTAGTAAATAATTGGAAAAAAAATAAAATAGTCTTTTGAACATATATCATTTTTCATAATATCCCAATTAAACATTAGATTTAATAGGATTGTCATTTCCAGAAATTTAATCCCATGAGAAAACAAACATGGGATATACATCATTTACAACCAAATGGTCCAGGGACTCTGTATCCTAAGATTAATAGTCCCATTGATTACACTATCTTTTTATCCAGTTCGTCTAGAAAAACATAACCTAAATCTATTAAGTCCCTAAAGTATTTAATTTAAAACATATTTAGTCCTTGAAAATATTATAAAAATAAAATATATGTCCATATTATAAATTTGTAAAATACTCCATTTACTAAGATATCATAAGATTAATAGTCCGATGGATTACAATCTCTCTTTATTCAGTTCGTCCAAACAAACATAACCTAAATCTATTAAGTCCCTAAAGTATTTAATTTAAGATATATTTAGTCCCTGAAAAGATTATAAAATTAAAATATATGTCCATAGATATTATAAATTAGTAAAATATCCCATTTACTAAGATATTATTCCAAAAAAATCTTAAATTTCTATTTTGTCTTCAAAAAGTATTTTGTTTCATTGTGTTTATAGTATCAGAGTTTAGTTTCTCACTACTGCCAATAAAATTATATAAGTATTAGATATATTAAAGAACTTGAATTAGAAATTTTAAATAACAGCACTTCGCAACAAATAACAATATAGCAAACTAATACATTAATTAATATATAAACATAATTTAATAGCAAAGAGATTATGGAGACAAGAGATTGGGTGAAGAAGGTAAAGTAGTTAGATTCAGCATAATGGCAAGGATCTCCCACTTTCACTCTCAAGGTAGATAATGGAGAATGGAGATAAATTCTCACAAAGAGATCTCTCCAAAATCCTCTTCTCTAAAGCTATGGGTGACTGCTCTATATATAGGCAACTCAAGATGTAGGCTGGAATATTCTCTCTAGATACTTTGTCCGAGGAGGTGACTTCTCCGAGGATAAGAAAAACCTAGAAGAGAAGATCAATCTCTCGATGAACCCTTCTTCTTAGCCACGCCTAATCAATGATCACTAATCATCCCAAAGGGGTTAGGTGTAGTCTTAGAGGACACTCTGCCGCAGAAGGGTCAAGGGTAGTTCAAGAGAACGCCCTACCGCAAATATCGCCGAATCTCAAGGACCCCTTAGGTCGTGCCACCTTGACCCGGGTATAGACTAATTTAACCGAAGAGTGAATTTATCTTCACTCATCATCCTCGGGATTGGGTCCTTTGTTCGGACTCCGTCACACACGTAGTTTTGGTGCATAGATCCCGAAAAGCTCCGAACCTACAAGTGTTCTAGGACTCAATAACGAAGCAGCTTTTAGATTGTGATCGAATCCGTTCGAAGCCAAATGCTTCAAATCTCTAGGTTCGTGGATCTGAACCATTTCAAGTCTAAGCTAAAATAAGTCTCTAGGTTCGTGGTTACGAACCCTTTTGAGACCAAGCAAATACCTTAGAGAATGGATCTCCTCCGAGGGTTTCATCTCTTCTGAAAGCAATGATTAACCTCCTCAGATGCCTGTATGATCTGGGTATCCTCAGATGGGCTTGTTGGGCGCTTTTTAGAGATATATGCTTGATGGGTCCTTCTCGACCCAATTTGTTGACTTTCTTGTGGGTCTACTCAACAGAATTTACTTGGGCCTGCTTGGAGATAATTTCTCCGAGCTTGCCAATTTTGGGGCTTTTTGATTGAACTCCAATTGGGCTCAATTAATTTAATAGGCTCAAGTTAACCCCTCTTACAAATATGACTTTCTTTTACTTTCAAAGCACACTAGTACATACAAATTTAACTGAATAATGGCGAGTGATATACTAAATAAGCAAACCCCAAACAACCCTAATAAGTCTTAAATATTCTTAAATCCATTTCATTTAATAAGAAACATAAAATATTAATTCCAAGCCTCGAAAAATACAAATTAGGTTGGCTGAAGGGGGCACCAAGCTGGTGCCATCAGAACTATATAGATATAGTAATGTTAAATTACACATGCAGTCTTTATAATTATGGAATCACACTATAATTTATTTTATACTTAAACAACTACAGAACTAACCCTGTTGTACACCAAGAACAGTCACTGTGAGGAAAATGTGAATTCGACTGACCCCTAACATTGGGCTGCCTAAGATAAACATGCACACCACCCTTCTCAGCTTGTCGCCCAATTCTGCTGCCTCTTTCATAAGAATTGCAGCTATCCTGTTTTCCGTCTCCATATCCATCTAAACCTGATAAGGAAAGCAAAAGACCAAAACAAGTCAATACTAGATATAACTTAGACACCCATAAAGCAAAATGGAACCAGAATATCCAAATGCATGCATACATGTTACAGGTAAAATTTATGAGCTTCACATGTCCCATGGCATATTGGTCTGTGTCGCAAATTGCATTGAATCATGTATCATAATTTTGTTCCTCTTTTTCCTTATTTGTGAATTTTTTGAAAATAGGTGGAAGAAGTATAGAAACAAAAATGTACATAACACCAAAATGAATATAAAGCAATTGATATTCAACTTCATGAAAAGTACTATGGGTCAAGAGTGCAAAGGAATGAATCATTAATTAGTAGTAGTACCTACAAATGAATATTAGAGAAAAATGAAATCAATTTAACAGAGCGTCATGTCATTGCACTGTTCAACCTTCATTACACAAAATAGACTCTTACAAATAAATCTGGCATAATGATATTTCACATTCAAGCAAAGCACCTGGAATTGACAAGGACGAACACTAGGTAATTCACATTAAAACTTAATTGATCCATGAGCATGACTAATACTAACTAGTGAGTAGTAACTACCCAGTAATTATATAATTAACAAACCAAAAATTCCAACTTCCAACCAATACCTGCTAGTATGCCAAAGGGAAGCAATCAAGCAATATGCAGGCTATACTTTTATAGAAAAACGTGTGAGTCTACAACATGTAAGTTTCCATGTGCCCTGAATTCAAATTGTTCATAGAGCTTAAATACAAAGCTCAACCTGACATCATATGTTCTAACTTGTCATGTAGGATGGCACTACATTATATTTATAAAAGATGAGCACACAGGCATAAATCATTCGGATTTTCAAGGGAAGTTAGTTAGCTTGTTAAGACATTTTAATATGAGGCAGTATCAGTGGCAAGATATCTCTCTCTCTCTCTCTCTCAATAGAAGTATAGGACTAGCCTAAGGCAGCGCGACCGCGCAAATGTAACACCATGGTAAAACCTCCGTCTTCAGCCTCCAAGCCAAAAGACCATAGAGTCTCATAGTGTATGATGAAGACTACAATGTGCCTAGACCCAACCTTTAAATCAAAAGCTACAATTGGAAAATACCAACAATGCCATAGTAATTATAATTTGAATAACATATTTCAAAAATTACAAATTAGTCTTTTTGTTGAACTTATAGCACGCTCGCTCACATGATGGTGACCACAAACATGAAAAGGAAAGTAGTTAAATACAACAAAAAGGCTACAATAATCACTTATATTTTTCCTCAAATTTTGTTCTACATTTGATACAAACTTCTACAAATTTGGATTCTTGTTTCTATTTAAAATTTTCCGGTAAACCAAACAAATTGATGAAAAGTAATAGTTGTTTTCTTTTCCTTTGTTGCTTGTACACTATGAAGCACGGACACGGACACGGACACGCATACGGACACGGACACTGACACGGGACACGTTAATTTTTAAAAAATGGGGACACGGACACGGCAGGGGACACGGCAGATTTTTTAATTTTTTTATAAATATTTTTATTTTAATACATATTAATTATTTTATTTATTTATTATATTTTTTAAGTAATATGTTCTAATTAATTTTTTTATTTTATTTTATATACATGTTTATTTATTTTTATTAATATGTATGAGTATATATAATATAATAGTTATATAATAATAATAGTTATATAATCATCTTTTATAACTATTATAATAATAATACTATTAGTTATTATTATTATAATAATAATAGTTATATATTATATATATATGAGTCCAGTAGATGAAAGAAGACAGACGCGAGAGAGAGAGAGAGAGAGGAAGAAGCGATCGATCGCGATCGCGATCGCGAGGGAGAGAGAGAAGGTGAGAGAGATAGAGCTCGTCAAAGTCAAAGGGCGACTGGATCGTTGAAGTCAAAGGGCGACTGGATCGTCGAAGTCGAAGGGGATGGAGGTCGAGGTCGACGGCTTACGGTGGAGGTCATGGAGGTCGCCGGCGAGTCAACTGGACTGGATCGAAGTTCAGGTTTGTTTCAACACCTTCGCTCTTCTCCTTTACTCTTCTTTTTTGCTCTCTGTGTCCAGATTTGGACACTCGTGTCCAGATTTGGTGGACACGCGTGTCTCCGCCGTGTCTCCACCGTGTCCCCTGCAAAAAAAATAATTAAATTAAAGGGACACGCCACCCGGCGTGTCCCGTACGTGTCCCCGGCGTGTCCCCGTGTCCCCGGCGTGTCCCCGTGTCAGACACTGCCACGGCATGAAATCTGCCGTGTCCATGCTTCATAGCTTGTACATGAACTCAGGTCCTGTTTGGCACATTGGAATAAAATAAGTTAGAATGGAGTGTAAGTTGTAACATGGAACGAAATGAAATTGACAACCCCATTCTCTTGATTGGTTGCCAACATGAAATTATGATTCCGACTCTAATAATTGGTTATGCTAATTAATAGTGCTGTGATGGAATGTCATAAGATATGTTCCTGACTGTATTTTATAAGTTTTGTCACATTTTTTTATATTTTATTTTCCAATAATACCCATAAATTAACTACTACACAGACTGCCAAAATAATTACAAATTCAATCCATATTCATCATTCACCAAATTAATCAAATCATCCAAAATTTTAGATGTAAAATTACAATCGCATCACATTTATACTCACCGCCAGTATATACTCAAATTCATCATAATTGAAGTTCCCCAGATTCGTTCCAAGAAAAGAGATAACAAAATCAAAATGCATTAACAAAAAGAAAAATTTGAAAAAAAAAATAATTAAATTGAAAACCCTAACCTTGTGAGTTGATCGGAGAAATTGAAAGAGAATAATAGTAGAGGCCGTGGTGGGTGCTTAAGAGGAGGTTGGATGAGAGCGAGGTGGTTTTGATCGCTTAATGGACAAGATTTTGGAGGATTGGAGTCGGTGGCGAGGGAGGGAGAGGATAGAGAAGATAACAGGGGAGAGAGACGGAACACAGCCAACCCTTTCTCCTTTTTTATGTAACACCATGGTAAAACCTCCGTCTTCAGCCTCCAAGCCAAAACTTGAATTAAAAATAAAAATAAAAAAATTGTAACTCATCCATTTTAATGGTTCTTTTAATTTAAAATAAATATACCCACTTATGTTATCTTATTCTATATAAATTTTTTATAAGAATTTTTTATTTATATATTATTATTTTTATCATTTTATTTATTGTCCGTATGATATCCTCACTAAAAATTTGGACACTTAACTCTTTTGTTTATTATTATTTGAGTGACAGTATATGAACAAAAAAATTTGTATAATAAATTCATATAGAATGACATGACATATTTGTGTTCATTCATTTCAAATAAAAAATTAATTTTAAAAATCATTAAAGGGGTTTACAATTTTTAAAATGTTATTATTACATTATTGTCACATCCTGAAAATAACCCCAATGTGTACAATATATCAAGTCACAATCATTAATTAAATGACAATAATCCTTCTATCTTTACATGGTTAATAAATGAGTTTATACAAAAGTTTCACATGTGAATTATACATTCATTGGTAAGAGAACACATGAATCTATAGCATGTGAAGCATATAGCCACAAAATAAATAAAATGCTCTTATGGGCTACAACTTCCAAGGCTTAAGCCTGGTTACACAAAAATGGCCTCTCGGACCCATAGAAAAATAGCCCTTGGCTTACAAAAATTTACAACAAAAATAAGAGCAATCTACTCTTCACCAAGACATATTCGCGCCCTCAGTTTGGCGGGATCACCACATCTTTACCCGCACTAAAGTCCCACAGGGGTGAGCATAAAGCCTAGTAGAGAATTCCTTAACAAAGTATATACATTTATGTAAGGTATCCAACATTAAATGCAAATGCTAATGCCACGCAATGCCATTTCAAAACTAGTCACATGCCATACTTTTCTTGAAAATCTCCATGTTTTCAATAACACTTTTTTTTTTTTTTTTTGCAATCTCATCAATTTCCGAACATTCGATTTTAACCTCAAGAGGCGGTAAATACAACTCTGGTAATCCTTAGGTTGGTGTCTGCAAGTAGGCTCAACAAGCACTACCAATAACCCACTTTACCAGTTGATAATCAAACGGGAAGTGGTACCTCTTCCACGCGTGTTTTCGGTCTTTCACCCCAGACACTCAGGCCAACTTATCAAATTCATCTACACCTCCTAACTAGACTTACCAACGTATTTACCCCGTGACATTCAATATTTCTCATTCACAATATTCTTTTCTCAATGTAACGTTCTCAACTCAATTTAAGATGTACTGATATCAATTGAAAGGATGTATAATGCAAATGATGCTCAAAATTTCATAACTTCCTTCCATTTTTAAGTATTCCGTCAATGTTACAATGACAACTACATAACCCATTTTTCCTTCTTTTAATAGAAATCAACAAAGCAGCACTAGTTCAATTAAGTGCAACAACATATGACAACTTTCACATTTTGTACCATCCTCAATACCTTAGCCATTTCAAGGCCTTATGCATTATCCTTGAACATTAAAGATTTCTATGTTCATAGTTCCTTAGACTCAACAAATAAGTCAACTCAGTCACCATGTATGTATAAACATTTGTTAACAATTTCAAATATAGTCCCCAATTCATATACTTCCATCATTTTCATCATTTCAAGATTGTAATAAAATTTTGGACAAACAATCTACAATCTTAACAATTCTCATGCGGGAAGAAACTCCTCATCAATATACTTATATACACACATTTGCAACAAAACAAGGAAAACTCTCCACCTCCTTTACTTATCATGACATACACTATGAGTTTCATGTATAAGTACATATATATAAATATTTTCCACCCAAAAACCCTCATCTTTCTTTATTCAAGAAAAGTTCCCCAAAATTCTAGGTTTTCACAAAAACCCTAACATTTTCCATCTCTTTTGTAAAACCTCATTGTACATCTCAATCTCAACCCATGTTGCCCAATATTTCAAGAAAAATCCTTAGAAGAATAGAAGATAGAGTTTACTCTACAAATCATCAATTTCATGAACCATAAACCCATTTTTTGTGAAATAACAATGGAAAGCCCACAAAATCAATTAGTTACCTACATAAACATATCTATAACTCAAAAGAAACCCTACCTCAATGGTTGATGATGAAGTGATGAAACCCTAAAGCCAAAATGGTTGATTCTTCAACTCCCACCACACCACGAGGAGCCCTAACTTAGATCTTCAAGATCGGTGAGAAAGGATGATGATCTAGACCCAACGGATAGCAAGAATCAAGAACTTTTAATGTTTTGGTGAGGGTCTCTAGAGAGAAATAGGAGAGAAATGAGGTTTAGAGTGATAATAAAAAGCCCCCAATGTATTACAAATTCGCCCAAAAGAGTAAAAGAAAACAAGGGTTCAGCTGCCGAGATTGCCGCACGTGCGGCGCCCTTCCCTGCACTTGTAGAATGCCACTCTCGCACGTGCGGCCTTCACCCCAACATGTGCAGTGCTCCTCACCTGCGCCTCACTCCGCTCATGCATATTAGATAGAATTCAACCCCAAACCTCCCCCGCATTCCGCACGTGCGGCCTGTGGCCCCCGTTTGTGCAGCTAACCCAAACTGTCTAAAAAAATTCCTAGCTCAAGTCTCGGCTATCCAAACCTAACCTCACACTCCCCGGAACAAGTGAAATTCAACACCGAACACAAGAACAAGGACTTTATTTAGAGAACCATTTCCGGGCCTTTCAAACTCAACGAAAGAAAAAGGAGAACGAAGCGAAGAAAAGAAAACACAATAGACCTGGTCGTCATAACCTCCCCACCATAAGAAATTCCATCCCCGAAATTTGAACAAACTCACCAAACAAAGGTGCTCTAGCAACTATGATCATTTAAACAATATTACCAAGCTGCAATATCAATGTTCAACCAACGTTTACCATTTTCTTCCTCGTCATTCCATCAAAACAAAATCACTTAAACTAGAAATAAAATGAAACATCTATAACAAAATATCATCCCTCCATAATTTCATGCTCAAATTAACAATACATATAACAATCTTGGATCAACGATTTAACATTCTTTCCCTTCAACACTAGGGAACACTACAATTAAAACAAAATAGCTAAGCATGCTCAAATAAATCCGGGTACTTGGAGCGGACCTCCACCTCTCGTTCCCAAGTTGCCTCCTCAACGCCATGGTGTCTCCATAACACCTTCACTAACGGTATGGTTTTGCCTCATAGCACTTTCTCTCGGGTATCTAAGATTTGAGCCGGTTGCTTTTTATAGGAGGCATCCTCCTTTACCTCAAAATTAACCCAATCTAGTACATGAGAAGGGTCGGGTTCGTACTTCCTAAGTATTGGTACGTGAAACACATTGTGAACCCCCGAAAGTTATGGCGATAAGGATAACCGGTATGCCACTTCCTCGATCCTCTCTAGTATCTCGAAAGGCCCAATGAACCTTAGAGACAACTTTCCACTCTTGCCAAACCTCATCAAACCCCGCTGAGGTGAGATCTTAAGAAAAACATGGTCACCTATTTTGAAAGATAAGGGTCGTCTTCACTTATCGGCATAAGTTTTCTGTTGGCTTTGGGCCGTAGCTAGCCTCTTCCGAATAAGAGCAACTTTATCGGTTGTCTCCCTAACAATCTCCGAACCTAACAACGGTGCATCCCCTACCTCGGCCTAACAAACTGGTGATCTACAAGGTCGGCCATACAAGGCCTCAAACGGTGCCATCTCGATGCTAGCTTGATAACTATTGTTGTAGGCGAACCGAATCAACGGTAAATGCCTCTCCCAAGACCCTTTGAAATCTAGGACACAAGCTCTAAGCATGTCCTCTAAAATATGAATGGTGCATTCCGACTGCCCATCGATTTGAGGGTGGTAAGCGGTGCTAAAGGTCAACTTGGTTCCCAACGCCTCTTGGAGGCTTTGCCACAACCGGGCGGTAAAACGAGGGTCCCTATCTGACACAATGGTTATTGGAACCCCATGAAGTCGAACTATCTCTCTAACATACAACTCTGCCAAGTGGTCAACTGAGTCGCTAGTACGCATTGGAATGAAATGTGTGGACTTAGTCAACCTATTAACAATTATCCAAATGGCATCATTACCCCGCTGTGTTCTAGGAAGCCTAACTACGAAGTCCATGGTAACGTGCTACCACTTCCACTCGGCTATGGTAAAGGTTGTAATAAACCTGCTGGTCTTTGATGTTCGGCCTTCACTTGTTGACAAGTAAGGCACTTGGACACAAAGGATGTGACATCTCTCTTCATACCCCTCCACCAAAACTGACGGCTAAGATCACGATACATTTTGGTGCCTCCCGAATGTACCGCAAAGCGCGAGTGATGGAACTCCTAAAGCACTTCCTCCCTACAAGATTCAAGCATAAACAAGTGATCTAGGTAACGTACACTCTGATCCGAGTGAATGTTCAAACCCTTTTCTTCCTTCTCGTTGGAGATTCTATCACGAATTTGCTAATCAAGACCAGTTGAGCACTCAAGGTAAACAATGTTGCACCCTCTTCGGACTCACCCAATTGCAATTCAAATTTGCCGGCTTCACCCAACATAACGCACTCCTGTATGGCCACACTCGCCAAACTAGTCACGGTTTTTCAACTTAAGGTGTCAGCCACTACATTGGCCTTCCCCGGATGATAGTGTAACTCAAAATCATAGTCCTCCAAAAATTCCATCCACCTCCATTGATGCAAATTCAAATCTTTTTGGGAAAACAAATACTTAAAGCTGTTATGATCGGAGAAAACCTCAAACTTTTCACCATATAAGTAATGTCTCCAAATTTTCAAGGCAAACACTATCACGACTAACTCTGAGTCGTGGGTGGGGTAATTTTTCTCATGAGTTTTTAATTGTCGTGAACCGTAAGCTACAATCTTTCCCCCTTGCATCAAAACACAACCAAGCCCATCCCGAGACGCATCACGAAAGAC